GTGGACGTGTGGACAGTGCGATTCTATGAGAATTACTAAGAGAATACATTGTTTAGTAATGCGAATACGTTCAACATTACAAAAATATCGTCATTTTCATGCATTCTCACTAATTCTTATTCATTTTTGTTCTCACAAATCGTTTTTCACTCATTATCATTCTGACAGAATACGACTCAATAAACATTCTGACAACATTCTGACAGAATGAGAATAATAATAAAAAGTCTATAATAACCTTATAGACGATTTAATTAGTGAGAATGTGGGATAATGACAATAGTTATGTAAGATTGAACGTATTCATATTATTAAACAACATATTTTCTTTGTCATTATCACAGAATAGCACTGTCCACACGTCCACACAATAGATGTTCATCCACATTTGAACATATCTCTCTCTCTCTCTCTCTCTATATATATATATATATATATATATATATATATATGTGTGTGTGTGTGTGTGTGTGTGTGTGTGTGTGTGTTATAGTCGCTGACGAGAGAAACAGGGTCCACCAGTTAACAATTAAATAAAAGAGAGGTGATATGGTCTTTTCATATTATATTTAACAGAAAACTAACGGTGTTAGTCATAAGGACCATTTGTGTGCAAAGTTTGTTCTGTAGGAACCATCTATTAAAAAAAGGTTTCATTAGGACTATTTTAGGGACAAATTAAAAAACTTTAATGACCATCTGTGAAATTTTGTCTATATTATATTAACTTGAATAATACATAATATAATTTATAAATCTTTTCATTTAAATGGATAGCAAAAAATTTATTGAGGTTTTTATCATTTTGTAAACACCTTCAAATAAGGAGCAGCAGCCACTTCTCTCCGGTGAAAACCGTTGCAATAACAACACGGGAAAATGACTTATAAGCCTAATAAAGTTTCCAAACCGCTCAAAAAACCGTTTAAGAAATCCCACGAACTTAACTTTTTGTCTAAAAAAGCCCAACTAACTTACACATTTGTTCAATTCTCATTAGGGTCAACCGGCTAATGAAAGTCAACGAATGACATGGATTATGATGTGGAATTAAATATCGGGAAAGTGACTTGTAAAACCAACGAAGTTTCGAAACCGTTCAAAAAAACCTAATAGACTTAACCTTTTGTCTAAAAAAACCAACAAACTTACGCTTTTGTTCAATTCTCATTAGAGGTTCATTAGGTACACAGTTAGTTGGCAAATGACATGACATTATATTTAATGACATAGAATAAACATATTAGAATCGTCCTTTATATATCGATTTAGGGCTCGGAGAAGAGAATACCGAACGGTGTCTGTGTTCGATCTCTTTTAATGGTTACTTCTTCTCTCTCTCAATCGTTGATGTCCAACTCAAGATATACAAAGAAGATATTTGATGATGCAAACTATTGTGGATGTGGATGCCCTCCTCGGATATGGACATCTAGAATGGATGATCATCCAGTTCAAGGCTTGTTCAAATAGATGGGTAAGTGTATTTGAAAGCTTTATCATGTCCATCTTCTATCTATTTGGTTGGTTGATTATCTTAATAAGTTCTTGTTTTTGAAGGAACCAAACAAATAGATAGAAGATGGACATGATAAAGCTTTCAGTTACACATACTCATCTGTTTGAACAAGCCCTGAACTTTTTCTCCGGAGGGTCCTCCATTCTAGATGTCCAAATCCGAAAAGGACTTCTACATCCACAAGGGTTTGCATCATCAAATATCTTCTTTGCAGATCTTGAGTTGGACATCAACGTTTGAGAGGAAGAAGAAGAAGTAGCCATTACAAGAGATCGAACACAGGCGTCGTTCGTTGTTCTCTTCTCAAAGCCCTAAATCGACATATAAAGGGCAATTCTAATCTGTTTATTCCATGTCATTAAATATAATGTCATGTCATTTGCCAACTAATTATATACGTAATGAATTTCATTGCCTCTAATGAGAATGGAACAAAAGCGTAAGTTTGTTGGGTTTTTTTTAGACAAAATGTTAAGTCCGTTGGGTTTTTCGAACAGACAAAATATGATTGGGGTTTTTGAACGGTTTTGAAACTTTGTTGGTCTAACAAGTCATTTTCCCGATATTTAATTTCACGTCATAAGTCATGCCATTCGTTGACTTTCATTAGCCGGTTGACCTTAATGTGAATTGAACAAAAGTGTAAGTTAGTTGGACTTTTTAGATAAAATGTTAAGTTTGTTGGATTTTTATGAACAGACAAAACTTAATTGGGTTTTTTGAACGGTTTAGAAACATCATTGAGCTTATAAGTCATTCATAACAACACAAGCCTAAACAAGTTGTCTGTGGCGGCCTTGAATGGTCAAACAATGAATGCAAATCAATGGAGTTAGGACATTTTTGTAGGTAGTTTTATGTGGAATCTAAACGATTGTGGTAATGAAAATAATTACTTGATTACCGATTTACCTCAATATTGTTTTTTTTAATCTTATTCAGGTTAATCGGTTAAACCAAAACCCACTGAAACAAACTGTTAACCGATTAAGCTTATACGGTTTTTGATTAACTGAATCAACCATCCGAAAACCGAATAACCCAAACCGATTATCTTATCTTTCTCCCAATAATTAGGATACATTTTAATATTGGGATCAAGAAAAAGAAAAGAAAGAAAAAAATAATAATTGATGTGTATGTGTGTATAGGTACGTATGCATGTGTGTGTCCATGCGTGAGTGTGTGAGAAAGAAATAGAGGTAGGAGCACACAGGAACAACACAAGCTGGAGTTAAAAAAAACAAAACCATAGGGCGCCCATAGTATACCAACGGTTTATCCTCTTCCACATAGACATAGCCATGTGTGTTATATATATTATCCTTAACCTTAATTTATTATGCATATGCATCTACAATTGAATCCAAGGATCGTGTGATTCTAAAAATTAACAAATGGCACCGACTGCGGCCATGCTTACGCTCGTAGGAGAAGCCCACCACCACCGCCACAACCCCACCACCAAGTCGGCGGCGGCGGCATCTTCACCCCCATCTCCACCATTTTTTCCGGCGAATAATTCTGCGGTGAATTGGGTTTTGAAACTGATCCAACCTCATCAAACATATGAAGCAAGGACATCAATGGCGGAGGATCAGATGCATCCGGATTAGACAAGAATTTCAGGGAGTTGTCGAGATTGGTATAGCTGGTAAAATCATGAACGTATGAACAACCATACACATTAGATACAGAGTTCATTTACAGAATATGTATTGTATATATCCTGCCATTTTCGTTCTTGTACTTTTGATCCAAAAAGATGAAATGCAAATAGATTTTGCATGGGTTCTTATTTTATAATAATGGTACAAATTCAACATTGTTCTTACCCTTTGCGAAAACGAAAAAAGAAAATCAAAGCAAAAGCTGGGGATCAAATCCATTCAAATCATGATATATGTATAACTATAAATTAATTTTATATATTCTTTCAAATCATGATATAATAACTATAAATTAGTTTCATTTATATAATCATGATATATTATAATTATAAATTACTTTCATTTATATAATCTTCCCATTATTAGCTTTTCATTCCATAAGGAGGAATGTCTTTCTTCTATATTATAATTATTATTGTATATTACGTCTATTTATATAATTTATAATAACAATATATTTAAAAGAAAAAAATTCGAGAAGACGAAAAGCATTTTCAATTGTAAACTTATTAAGATCACCTCATTATTTCATTAATTTTGACTTTTAATAAAATTACATCTCTAAATGGTTAATATATATAATAACTTTTTTTATGAGTTTAACTAATTAATCACCATCTATCTAAAATATTTCATAAAATTCATTCATTTAATTAGTTGTTTTTAAACACTAACATATTTTAATAAATATGTTCGGTCCGATCCGGTTCAGTTCTACAATGTGTGCTCTTTAGGGTTGTGTTCGGTTCCGGACCAAGAACCAAAAACCAGTTTAGCGGGAAACAGTTGAATACTAACGCTTCAATTAAAACCTTTACATTCCAAAAATGACAAAAAAAAAATAGTTGTTATTATTTTTACTTTTTAATATTTTATGGTATTTAACTTTTTATTACATTAGCCAAAATTTTAAAAATAATAATCATTTTCTTTTTCAGCCTACTTACTTGAAATACATTAATATACATTTCAGACGACATTATTTAGCGATTTTTTTATTTGATTAGAAATTTCATTTTATATAAAAACATGTTTTTTTCATTATTTATCAGTTTAATTTCATTTAACTTTCTGCCTACACATGACACACAACAACATGATTGCTCGTTCCATTACTGTTATTCCATTCCTTTGTTATTACATTTCAATGTTTGCATCATACCATACATTCATTTGCGATTACATTTCAATGTTTCATCATACCAAACAAACCCTAATAAAATCACATATTTCTCTATTGGGCATTGGCAAAAATTCAAGAAAAAAGAATAAAACTTACCAAAAAATTGATGATATGGAAATTTCATATTTACACAAGGGAAAGCTCCCCAGATGGAATTGATCTCTTCACAAGCTTAGCCCATGATTCATTTGTCTCCGCAATCACCTTCAAAGCATAATCCTGTAATTCAACTCAAACTATATTCAACCCTCAACTAACAAATTGTAACAACTTTATACCCTATGGAATTATAAAATTTCCGTTTTTAGAACCTTTTCAAGTTCCATTGCCATCTTTACAAAAACAAAACTTGATATTGATTTGGGTCAAAAAATATTCTCTTTATCTTCTTGATATCAAAAGGGTATTTTTTAAATTTGACAAAAAGTCAAATAGTCAACCAAAATAAATGCATACCTTATTAGCTGCTTTGTTGCCAAGTCCAAATTTATTGGCTGGTTTTCCATCTGGGATTTTATAGTCTCTAAACCAGTCTCTAATTGCAGTTAAAGTCCCCTAAATTTACCAAATTTCACCAATTAGTCTCTTGAATTGAACTCAAATTGATGAAATGTCACATAATTCTAACTTTAATATGTTCTATGAAAGATTAAATCATTGTGTTATTGCTCCATAAATAAGGAAGAGTCGACACATGGTTTTATAAAGTGTAAATTTAAAGGGAGAAAAAAAATACCGGGAAATGTTTGTCCACGTCATCAACATCGTTCACAAGTGGGGCCCGTGGATCATCCAATGAAATTGCAACAATTTTCCAATCAAGCTCACCTTCATCGATCATAGCTAGACAACCTATGGGCTTCACCTTCATAAGTTGGCCCACTTTCCCACGAATTTCACCAATTTCAACAACATCAACTGCAAAAAATCAATTAAATAAAGTTGTTATGTAAAATGCCAAAACTCATGAGCTAAATACGAATACTAATAGAAATTTATCAAGTTAAAACATAGAATTATCGTAAGTTCTCTACTAAAAGTTTTGTAAAATGCCAAAACGAAGATGTATTTTTTCCTCAGAAGTTGATTCACCTGGATCATTATCTCCAAACGCACCATCTACATCAGGGTTTGCTAATGATGGATCTTCCCATGTTTGTGGAAGCAACCCATAATTCCAATTAATGTTATACCTAGAAAACAATGGAATCAGTCGTAACACCATTAAATAGAAATCAATCTTGTACAATTATCAATTCAACCAAGACTCAGGAACTCCATAGATGAAGTAAATGATCCAATAACATAAGAAAAAAGCTCTCGAAAATGGTGCACATGGAAAAAACACAATGTCTTACGGGTAATATCTAAGTTTCCCTTTCTTTGTATCTTGCTTAATTGGGGTATAAATCTCATCGGTAGCAACCTCCATTTTTGCACTTGATTCTTTGGGGATTTCAACAATGAAATTGAATGCTCCATCACCCAAGTGCAGGGGTATATCATGCCAAGGTGAAATCTGGAACACAAAACGATCTCCGTTGATGAAAGCAGAAAGATTGATACAGCTATATTCAAAATGATGCGATCGAGGAAAATTTCGGTGAGTGTGATTAATCATCTAATTCGGTAAAGCAATCAGAACTACACAGCAAAATGGAGAGAATGCGGTATATAGTGAAACCTTTTTGCCAGACTCATCGACGAAGAAGATTCTGTAATCTAGGGTTTCAGGTTGTCCTTCCTCTTTGATCTGGACATGCGGCCTGTAGAGGGCTTTACAGGTGAAAAGCCTTTTACTTGAAGCTAATCTGTTGTGGTTATTGAAGAAAGGTCTTAATCTATTAGGTTTTAAGAATGGAGTGGTCGCGGCTTTGAAGAACATAGAAGATGATGTGGAGATACTGCTAGCAGACACCATGACTCTAGCGGCCGCCATGGATGACGGGTAGCGAGTGTGATATCCAGAGAGAAGGCAAGATGAAGGTGGTTTGTGACTTGTGAGTGTCAATTTTCAACCAGAGAGACTGAAGTAGAGGGGGAAGCACACAATTACACAATTATCGACTGTTGTAGAAGTGGAAGACTCTCTGAAACCTTTTTCCTAACGCCCTTTACTTAAATTAAATTAGAGAAACGAGAGAAATGGAGGATAAGGACGGAAATGAAAGGAAAGTGAGGGAAGGGATTGATTTTGGAGCCATATTTTCCTTCAAATTTTTTCTAAATTGGGAGAACTTGGGAAGAAAGGGAGGAAAAGAAAAATTTTAAATTTTTTTTTTCTTTTAACCCGGGAACACAAAACTTACAATTTTCCTTTTATTTTCTTCGAACTCGGGAACACAAAATAATGAATATTTTTCTTCACCTCCCTTTTTTTCTGTCAAAATTTCCATTCCCTTTCCTTTAATAAATTTTGTAAAAATACTCGGGAACAATCCCGAGTTTAAGAAAAGAAAAGAAAATAAAGTAACTAGAGAAAGAAGAGAAGGAAATGAAAACAAAATTTTCTTTTGTGTTATCAAGTTGGAGAAAAGTGAAAGGAAAATGAATCATTTTATTCTTTCTTTCTAAATCCTCCCGAATCGGAAGGAAAGTTAGGAGGGAAAGTGATCATCTCATTTCCCTCCACTTCCTTCCACTCGGGAACGGGGTGTAAATGATTTGAAGGGAAAATTATATAAATGGTACTTATTTTGTTATTATCAATTTTCACTTTACTAATCTTTATGAATATAAATGGTCCTTTTGGTTTCTCATAATACAATTTTACTCCTTAACTTTTTTTTTCATAAAAGGTTTATATGGTTTTAATTTATGTCGTGGTTGGTCCTTGCCCTATATGAATTAACTAATTTATCTTTTTATTATTATTCTTTTAGTTTTTATATTTACTTTTTATTCGTGCAACTAAAAACACAAAAACTAAATACTGCCCATACTCATCCCTCCCCCTCCCTATTACAAAACTCATCATCAAGACATTATCACCACCAGTAAACACCGTCACTTACCCCCGTCCTTCCTATCCTTTCTGTTAATTTCTTTCACCATCACCATCATTACTACCACCACACACTCATCCATTGTCAATTTATGTTCTTGTCGAATTCAAAACCACCGACTGATGTTCAAATCCATAAAAACATAAACCCAAAAATTATTTCAACGCATGAATAAAATCCCATTCATTCAAACCATAAAATCCACTAAGCTTTAATTCTCAATCTCTAGGAACGTGGAAATTTCTTAAATTGACGAAATCCTTCAAAATAATTGCAAAATAAATTGAATGAGAGAAAAAAATAAAACATAGATTCTCAACTGTCTTCTTCACCTGAAAAACAAAAATAAAATATAAAAAATCTAGATAACAATGATTTCTAAAATAGATTTTGTTGGTGTCGGTGCTTGAAAAAGATGATGCACCTTGTAACATCCGAAATCTTCAAAACAATTTTTTCATTTTTACAATAAGAAAACCATCCCAATTTCATTTTTACTCAACATATTACGAGATGTTATCATCCTTTTTAGTTTGGAATAAGTTTCAAGATACGATAGCTAATTACTAGAGCATGGCTCTAAAACTTGATAGGAACAAAGTATCACTCATTTATGATCGAACCATTTCCAACAATGTTCGATTCCTCTTCTTAGTCATACAATTGCACTAAAATGTTCTTTGAGGATTAATTGTGAAAAAAGTTTAGTAAGATGAGACTTGATATCGTCGGCTCGAGTGTGTGGTTTATCTTGCCTTCAGGATTGAGGTAAGTGTTCTCACTATACTGTATAGGATGCTAACTGTCTTTTGTCACTCTTGCATTGGCATGTTGGGCTGATCCCAT